AAGCATCTATACATCTATTAAGGTAACGATTTGGGGTTCAGTTCCTCAACAGCACTTAGCATAACTTCAACAACGATCTTCAAACGAGTACTGTTTCTTTGGATAAATAGGTTATTGTCATAAATTGTTCGTTACCCTTGACACAACAGCTGCTGTAGATAGCACACACAAAACGTGGAAATAGCATCCTCGCTATAGTCATATCTACTGACTATGACATTGATTGCAGGTGTACATAGCATGTACATTTCGTGCACCTGTCATGTCATAAACGTGCCGGGTATGGCACTACGGAAGGCCATCTGGTTAATGTCGACTGTGATACACGATACCCTCATCGCGGCTTCCATATATCACATGGGATATAGCAGCAGTATGCAGGGGGGTAGGGTCGGGAGGTAGGGGGTAAGGTCGGGATATAGGGTAGTGGGTTGTGGTTTTCATTTATCTTTTTAATTTATTTATTATTAAATTATTGGGTTTTTTATTTATTTATTGGTTTTATATATTTTATGTATATTTTTTATTTGTTATTTTATTTTTAAATTTTTATATTTATTTTTTTGGGGGGTAAGGGTTGTTTAAGGGGGGAGATTGCTTTAGTTAGTGCTCATCACATCACATATTCACAGAGACGCATAGTGTTTCTATATATATATCCACTGATAATATTATTTTTTTGATTATGTAAGGTATATAACACTGTGGGTTTTTGTTAAATGTGTTTTAGGAACTTTCTATTTTTTCTTTGATGTTTCATCAATAATAAATGTATTGTATAAATAGCAGTTGCGTTTATCAATAAATATATTACAATCATATTAAACAAAATATTAAAGTCAAATTTGGGTATACATGAAGTGGGCGGATACGTCGATGTATATTCTGGATTTATGTGTCAAGTAACACAATGTCCACCACCGAAAAGGTGTATTATTACAAAACAAACATTATTAGACGTAATATCAAGGGGTACTTTTCAAATACAACTTTTTATTGTTGCAAATGGACATTACTAAAAAAAGGTGCATGACATTCGTGAAATGATATAACAAATTATGTAACGATTATGCATGGAAAAAAGTATTTTATTTAATGGGTGCCGCAAGGTATATGGTATAATGACATATAACGCTGTTTTTGGTTAAATGCACTTAAAAAACATCTGTAAGCGACCTGCTTCATTTCACGCCCATGTCACCCCTGAAACAAAAGCTCAAGACAAACACAATCAAAAATTGAGAAAACATTTAACGCTTTAATCTCCTGATTAGAATAATTATTAAAACGACTCATTACTCTGAAGCACAGGTGCCTCCGAAGTGATCACTACTAATAGATTTCAAGTGGATTACGTTTTTATAGGTAGGATTAAACAAGTCCCCTAACCCAAAACTGCTACCCCGATCCGTGGCGATAATCCCCCTTGAGCTGCCGTACCCCCACAGCCTAGTCCCACCCTCACTGGCAGTACATCTAAGTTATTAGTTCCCCCCGAGCGTTTCGCCCCGGGGATAGTTTGAACACCTTTATGAAGCAGGCTTCATCATTTGACAGGTATTTTCTTTAAGTAAATAAAGCTTTGACGCTCAATCGGGCTTTTTTTCTCCGCGTGTCTGCAAACAATACCCTAATTGCGTACGTTCACATAGCTTCACGTGGGAGATACCCGCACAATCGTAAGCTCGCAATTGAAAGAAACTTTTCACCTGGGCCGCAAGTGTCAGTACACGTGTGTACCTCGCCTCACACCCCGATTTCATCGGACCGAGCCCCGCGCACAGGTGCTTAATTACAGGTATGCAAACCCAACGGCGAAACGTTTAACCTCAGCGTTCCCTGTGGAGATGATTTTTGGGGGTACATGGTTTCAGGTGTGTCGCGATCCAACCGACCGCTCTCACTACTGAGACGTTCATGCGGAGCAAAGAAGAATTTAGGCGAAATAAAGGCTGTCACATTGGTTATTGTCAACGGTGATTATAGAAAGGTTCTTTATTTGGGGTTTTCATATGTTATAATCCGCTAGTGTGCGAAAGAAGGCAGGCTAGTGGGTTGGTGTTTGCCATCACTTCTCACGATACGCAACTGGCTGCTGCATCAATACCGCGAACCTCCCCTCTCATTTTCCACAATGGCAAAACTAAACAAGATATTTCTTAATGCCCCTTTTCAACAACAAATACAAGTCCCTACGTATTCACCCAGGTTTGTTCACAAAACACTCTCGCTTCAACACAAGCGCTGCAGGGAGCGCATGGCTTTTAGAAATTTCTAATGGTGGAGAGATTCGATAGAAAGGCTCGAATTTCATCCTCCCTTCCTCGGAGTTATATACAAAATATATTATGTACACATTTTATAGTTAAATAACAGCCTCGGCGTGGTATAAGCGCTCTCATTATAAGCGATATCGCTCCCGCCATTCATAAGTATAAAAAGCAAATTTGAAAACCACGGTCCGCCGGAGAGGGTATTCTTCACTAACGAGGTTCGCCTCTCGTGAAAATTACATTATTACGGAGTACAACATATGCCGAGAGATGGTGTTATAGAAATATGGGGGTCTAATCATAGGGTTGGTTGAGGGGTGGTGCGCTCGGAGGTGGGGCAGGCACCAATATTTACATCATCCATATTCCCATAATTTGCCTGGCATATACTCTTACGCGGGTTCCGAACTACGATTTTAAAAACAAGCAATTAATAAACTTTTAACGAAAGACCTGTTCCTCTTAACCAAGGTCTATCGATTAAAAGATACATCTTCACTTTTTAGTCATTTGGACTAAATTTGCAACTTGTGCGACGCAAAAACCTCGATGCGAGCGGTTTTCCAAGCTAACGCTTTTCCATTGAGTCGTCAATCGGTTGCTTGTTTTTCACTCGTTCCCTTTTGAATAGAGAACCAATTTACTGTGGAAGCAGTAACTCTCCCCGTAGCGCTTAAGAAACGGCGTTCAATAGACGCGCAAAGCATTACAATAAATCGCCTCAGTCAACTCCGTGAATAGCAGAAACACGTGTTAGAAAACTGTTAAGAAATCCCATTGCATAGCAAGAAGAGAAGGTTTTGTCGTATCGTTCGGTGGATCCAGACCTCTCCCGAGAAGGACATAAGCATCTAATAATAAGCTCTCTGTGCCCCGATCCGCATAGCAATCAAACACCCCCGGTCGAAATATTTGTAGGGTTTTGTTGACAAGATCTCCTCGGAGGTTCATTTTTAACCATCTGTGCTTTTTGACAAAATATAAGTGATAATACGAGATTGTATCTACCTGTTTCACGTTATTGGCAAGCTCTGAATATTGGTAGCGGTGTGTGTGCATATATCGGGGGATGGAACACAGAGCTCTTGAGTGTCGTCCGACAAAAATGCAGATCTTTCATGTGGCTCAGAGTTCAAACGTTGACAAGTACATTCTTATTTCTGAAATTTTGTAAACTGCTGGTTTACAAAGATCAACAAAAGCGTGTGTAGAGTAACCATGTGTGTATACTATATGTAAGTATATATCATACACGGGGCATTGTATACATTCTTATTTGAAAACACTTCTTTAAAGTTCGTTGTATTATTTAATAAAAAGTATTCCTGAAGGAAGCAACCAGCTGGGATATCATTTTTTCAATCAAGATTTATGTTAAAAAGTATTTTGTGTTTATTGTTTGGCTTTCATCTTCAACTTATGTATTTAAAGCTTCGTTTTATTAGATTTCTCTGAATGGATGCACATAAAAGGAGTTTTAACAAACAGCGTAATGTGTATGCTGGATGTAACTTCTATTTTATCTCAATGTAACCTACTCCACTCATTACATTTTACGGGTTTGGTGGAAGTGATTTTATAGTGTATTTACTGTTCATAATGAGCACGTGACATTTTATGCATTATTACACATAACTCCAAGCTATACATTCAACCGATAACTCGTATAAAGAAAAATCGCAACAAACATTAAATATATACATATTAGCATCAACATATTATGCAGCTGACAATATCAATATAGACGAATTAAATAGCACATAGTCTATGTTTGAAAGGACACTAAACAGCATTTTATGTATTTGAGCTTCGCAGATGAAAACACAGGCAATCAATATGCTTCTATACTGTAGATAAATGATTAAATATCTCTTTCAAATAACAAAATATCAAACAAAGACGAATTACAAATAAAGAATAACATTATTTGAACAACTGTTCAAATGTATATTAAAAACGCATATTCCCAACTAAAGTTGGTATAAGTATGACGTCTCGCAATGCTATCACATTCTTGAATCGCATCCCATCCGACTTCTCTATTCCACGTGAACTAAATACAGTCGTATAAAATCCCAAAGATCTTCCTTCATCCTTGCATATCAGAAATGATAGAGTCAGTTCTAAAGTTGTCTAGAAGCCAGGTTTTAAATGTCGGTTGCGTGCCAGCCCGGCAACAAAAGTCTACAAGCGCTCCTTCTAGACTTCTGGTAGTATATACATACAAACAACTTCACGCCATCATAATAGATTACTGAACAAAAGTTTCATCGACTCCCAGTTCATTAAATAATCGTTCTTCTTGTCTGATTGATGTCGTTAAGCGGTGTCTATTAGCCGACGAGCCTCCCCTCTCGTTTCCCGACTTCGACTCATAATCGCTACTTGACATTGGCCCGCCTCCATAGACCAAATCGCTATGTCGGTATGTATAGCTAGATGTATCCCATCTATAGACTTTCAGTCCGAATTCGGTACTTAAATTCTGTTCTCAGTTGTATTTCTCAAGCGTGGCTGAATTTTCTTACGGGGATCAGTACTTATCGATTCGCTGGATTAATCAATCAGCGATGGCTCAACTCGCCTGTCGATCAGTCACCCGTGACGTCACCTAGCCAATCCCCTTGTAGCGGTGGGCGGAGCTTGTGGCGATGGTGGCAGCCTACTGGTCGGTTTGCGCGTGCGCAGAGTTGTGGTAGGGCCGGCTCGGATTTGACGGACGGTATAGAAATCTTGAGATGAGTTGATGATCTACACTGTAGTACTTGAGTGGCCAAGTGTCTACACATAACACACGAGTTGTCAACATCAGACTCCGAGAACCGAGCCGGGCGAGCGATCGGTTCTATGTCGCTTTCTCAGTGGAGTGCTGCTATGTCCCTGAGCCCCAAGCATACAACACCGTTTTCAGTCACAGATATACTCTCACCACTGGATCACGAGAATTACAAGAAGACTACCATCGAGGCGGCAATTCCGCCCCTCACCCCCTACCGTAATACCCAGCACCCACAGAGCATGACAGGCATGGGGGGGATGGGGGGCATGAGTGTCCCCGTCACGAACCCCTACCACAACTACGTACCCCCCTTGTCCCACCACACAGGATCCTTCCCATCCCAGTACTGCCAGGGGTCGGATCTGGCTTACGGTGACCCCACCCGACATTCAACATCGTCATGGTACGGTACCAACCCGGATCCCAGATTTGCCTGTAAGTACAACCTCTTTTCTTTACGAAATAATATCTCATGGTGTGTGTGTGTGTGTTTTTATGACTGAATTGTACACAGGTAATGGTGTAAGTAGGGTTTGTGTTTTTAAATCGTATTCCGTTATAGTGTTATGAACGGTTTATCACAACGTTAGGGAAATCTGGCCAACTTTTTACTAGAGCGAAGTACAAGGAGATAATTTGTCAGCGATAAACGGGTACCGTCTATGATAGCGTTAGACATCCTGTTTGCACATACAGTGCATCTATAGCCAGCGTTCTTGTCAGTTTTCAACTTTCCTGTCGCCAGGGTGGGTTAAATATAATCGGATTGATAATTATTGATGATTGCATTGCTCTCTGAGCTGAGTTTCTGACGGGGATTTTGGCAGTTTGTGTGGAGTGATTGTCGACAACTCTCAGCCTCTTACCTAGCTCTCGAGATCTAAGAAGACAACGCTTCTAGTTATGTTGGTCACTCTCACCTCTTCATCCCCCTACCCCGGGGGTGACTGGACCAGCGCTAGACCCCCAGGAACTACAGCCAGTAGTACACTAGGCAGCACCACGACCACAATGACAGTGTCCAATATTTATTACTAAAACGCCCAAGTTTACAAAGTAGCTGCCACAGAGTTCACCAACGTTTACCCGTTGTTTAATAAGTTTTAAAATGATTGAATGTTTAAAGTGTTCCCGTCAAGACGATAACAGTTTTAAGCAAACACGGTTGGTGGGAAGCAAAAGTAAATAATATGTTTGAACACACTCTTCATGAATTTGTGATTTTCCTTAACCTCCCGTAAAATTGGATAGTCTGGAAATTTAATATCTTCGGAACTAGAAGGACCAGTTGACGGCACCTCCCTTTGTTGTATAGACTGTAGTCCACGTCGTTCGGCCTCATTCCATAGTTTAGTTGAGTCAACACGGTAAAAACACCGAACCTGAGAATTATATTAATACCGTTTTAAGAGTCAAAACCTAAATTTCTTTGCACAGCAATTATTTTTAGTCTTTGAAAACAACATGTTCTCGTGCTTTTGATCTTTCATACAAAACTTATTTGGTGTTTATTATCAAAAATAATATTTGAAATGGGACTGGTGAAAGTGTGTTATATTCCATGTATTTGACGAACAGAACTTTACCCGTTGAGGTGAAATTAAGTACAGCATCCCCGTATATCGCGAACCGATGTTGTTATTGTGTTGTAAATTTCAGCGAAGCGATGACAGCTTGAAATCATACAGAGAGCCTAGTCATATATTCAGCACCTTGTTTATCTCAGCAAATACATTGCTTGCTCCTGTCATTCATTTATCTGTGTGTATTTCACCCACAGGATACATCCGGTTTATTGATAGCGTATTCGTGTCTGTATTTAGAGAACATATTTATCAAATATCAATCAGTGTTAATTTGTCAATTTCGAAATACACGAACAGGTGTGCGCTATGATAGACACCCCACCCCTCCCAGGTTCAAATCCCTACCCCCGGGATTACTGTCAGTATCATGGAGGATTTTAGCCGGTCCCCGGGGATAACTGTCACTACCAGCAGGTTTAGTGGTTTCATTTTCAACCAGGATTCATTGATTATCCATCAGAAAACGTCCAATTTTAAGAAGAAAATCGAAGCTATTGTTGCGACAAAAACAGTCAATGGTAAACGCGGGAAGAAAGTTGATTGTTATTTTTAGAAGAATTAATATCTGAGAGAAAACAGTTCTATATGTATTGACCCCTCGCGCGGTTAAAACGCCCCAGCGATTCAAAAATTATTTAAAAAATAGAAAAATAAGAAAATTGAAATTGAAAGGGATCTCGCGAAATAATGGTGTTGACATAATTGTTTGTACGGTGTAGTGTCCTCGTGTGGCGTATTGTCTAGCGGTCTGTGCACGATGTGTCATAGCCATTAATGCATATCCGACTACAATCAGATAAACACATTAGGAATTCTTCTACCTTTCCTTTTGATTGTATAAGTAAATATTCTTAAAGTATTATGTATACAAGTTAATAAACATGGTCATAAGTCTAATATTCTTTACTTTCCATCTATTTTCTAAATCGATACGCGACAGTTGTGCGCCATTCTTCTTTTAACGATCGTTATACCTGGGGAAGTTCATGCATTGCAATAAAGGTAATTTCCAGTACGTTCAGAATATCAATAATACTATTTCATTACATAATTTCTTTAAGCTCTGTTTCTCTGTACCTTCCTAAAACACACATTTTACAAGAAAAACGATAATACATCCCGCGTAAAATTTATTTGGACATAATATAAAACAAATAAATTGGAAACCTTTCGAACATATGATTTGATGGGGTTTTTTTTATGAATTTCACAGCGCGTTTAAAACTTAGCTCATTTGGGTAATATAAGTGTTATCAATTAACAATTTAATTACGGAAAATATATTTGCATGTGATCAAAAATAATTTTTGATCCTCTACAGAAATATGACCCAAAGTGACGCATAACAAAAGCATGTAGTTGACATTAATAACCAACTGTGTTGTCTGTCCAAGCTTGTCTTGACCAGTGGTCAGCCTACACCACACCTGTGCCGGATTTACCCGCCCGTGGCTATTACCACCAATTATCCCCACTTTGTAGCGTTGTCCGCCACTCAGGAAAGGTGCGAATCGTCACAGCAAGAGCGCGAGTGAAGAATAGAAAACGCTAAAACCATTACGACTTGTTTGGGTGCGCGATTACCCCCGGATCAGGCGCACAGGGCCGGGGTAGCCCACCGGGTGCCCCGTAAACTTTCACACCTTCCCCCTAATAGTACTGTTTTGTTTCTCTCCGTCAGATTAAGAAGAACACCTGGAATTGTGTAGAGTGTATTTTATTTATGAATCAATCGGAAACCCATTTCACACCCTTTGATAGCTCGGAAGACCCGTTATGGATGAGTCGTTCAAATGATTACCGAAGATTGTTGAGTGTCGTAAGTTTGTTTAACTGAATGGTCAATAAATGTGTTTGGGAAAATGAGACACAATTTTTGTTTTACGTGTGAAAAATGTTAAACAGTCATGTTGCGTCTGCGATATGGTTGTAAAATACTTTCATAAGATGAGAATATCGGTTAAGCTCTATAGCGGCCAATCAATTTAAAACAAATTATGTAAAATCGATTTAATATTGGGTCAAAATCAAACATCTGTCCTCCTACCAGATTATCAATTCAATTTTCCTAATTAAAGGTTTTTGTGTAAAATGCCCTCTATTGAAGATCAAATATGAAAATGGGAAAATCTATTACGTTTGCGATTGATTCAGGTAATTGTTGACTATTGGGAATTATTAGGTTCGCGGTATGGCGGATCTCAGAGCCGAACGCTGTTTTCTGTTTCTGAAATCTCGGAACGGAAACCACAGCGTAGAACCGCGGAAACTCTCCCTGCACCCGCATTCCTGGCTAAAATGAAAACCATTAGACCGGGTTTTTTTAAGAAACACGTTTTGTGACAAGGAATAGTGTTTGTTTAATACGAAGCGATGCGACGATTTCATCAGGTTTGAAGGGGTATTTATGTAAACCCGCATTATGTATAAAGAAAAAAATTGAAAGCTTTTAATTTTCAATTTATCCTAACATCCGTTTCCAAATTCGCTGAAACGAAATATATTGTTTGAGACATTAATAATATTAATCGCAGGGTTATTTCTTTTAGGAAGTTAAAAGGCATTTGTGCACCGACTGAATTATTATCTTGAAAAACACAATGAGGAATATGGAATAGTCACTATATTATTCATTAGACCGCAAATTCCAAAATCACCTACTTCAAACACCGAATAGGAAAAGACGTGGGCATAACGGCTAATTACCTGTTTTATTCTTGACACTTTTTGGCAACTTAAATTATTAATTTAAAGTCAAATGAATCAATATTTAAAGCTTTTAATCTTTGAGTAACATTATTGAATTATTCTCATATGATGCCGAATGCGTTCGAAAATTTCACTTTATTGTAAAAATGCGTAATACACAACACGTTGTAACCCCCCAATGCATGTTGCTACATTGTCAGAAAACAAGTGATGTGCAACGTTTTTCTGAAGAGAATGTCATATCGCATGTCGTTGATCCATGCACACTTTCGTGTTAATAAGCATTGTTCAGTATTCCAAGATTAAAAGAAAAGAAAGATGAGTATACTTCACACAAACCTTTCTGATATTAACGTAGTCTGACAAAAGTTAAACATATTGTAAATGACGTTTTCTTGATAAACTGTTACGTAAACTGTCTTTATGAAGCATTATTTAAAAAATGATAAATAGAAAAATAATTTAAAAAGCTGGTATTGTGCTACATCGGTAGAGCTTTATTGGCTTTGAATTTTAAATCAGGTTTATATATGATTCACCGTTTTTTATGTGATAAGATTATTTATCTTATCAGTTGTTAAAAAGATTACTTTGTACTGTTCCATATAGAGCAGAGATTGCGATGGCGGACTGCACTTAAACATATCCGCCTATCTTCTATACTCGGATGCCAATTCACACTGTCAATGAAGTCCCCACCATCAGCCCCATCCCCCCCTCAACGCCCCCCCACCCCCCCCCCCCCCCCCCACCCCCCACCCCCTCCCCCCAAACAACACCCACCCCCACTCCCCCCACACACATGTACCTTATTTATACATTACATATTTTTTCATATACTGATATGAAAATGTTTCTGTTAGATTATATGTAATAAGTGTTCGGTGTACATCATATTTTAATCAGTATCATCAGAAACGAAATAATGATATTCCAAAGTATCCAAAAAGAATAGCGAATTGAATTGGTTCTGTACTCTTAGACTTATACGTTGGACTATTTCTGAAGCAGGTGGAGTTTTCCTTCATACAACTATTGACTCATAAAAAAACATAAATGTATGTTGTGATTATTGATAGACGCTAATAGAGTGCTATTACGGGCTAATGTATGCCCTATTATTGATGTCTGCAGTACAAAAGGAATTATTTACGCCCGACCAGAACCATACCATCAAGAGAATATATTTCTCTAGTTTCAGATGATATCAAATACGGATAGTACAAGAAAATTCTATATTTTCCCATGTCAGTTTTATGTGCATGAATGATCTTAAAAATAATTCTTTCAATTTTATGGATACCTTGGAATATACTTATTTCGTTTCTTAAGTGTTTATTGCTGACATTAGAACGTGAATGTTTATATTCTGGCATATTTGTATATCTAATGGTGTCTTCCTCTTCTGCAGTTTCTCGGCTGGCGATGAACAGTTCCTGTGCTATGTCCTCGATGCCCATGTCTGGAGGGATGGGGACTGGCCTTGGGGGTCTGGACCAGAGCGGGAGGGGAATGCAGTTTCCTTTGACCCAAAGACGCAAGAGAAGGGTACTCTTCTCCCAGGCTCAAGTTTATGAGTTGGAACGACGCTTTAAGCAGCAGAAATACCTCTCCGCTCCAGAACGAGAGCATCTGTCTAGCATGATCAACCTTACACCTACCCAGGTTAAGATATGGTTCCAGAACCACCGCTACAAGTGTAAGCGTCAACAGAAGGATAAGGAAAAGATGGATCAGACAACAAAGGATAGCTCAGGCAGTGACAGCAATCAGAACAATGCCAGATCGTCGTCGTCATCGTCGTCAAACTCCCAGTCAGCTCAGGCAAACAACAACAATAACGGTGGCAGCCAAACTTCTCAGTCAAACTCTAACAATCCCTCCCCAAGGCGGGTGGCTGTTCCGGTGCTTGTGAAGGACGGGAAACCGTGTGCTAGTTCTGGGAGCAACGATGGAGGAGGAGGAGGAGGTGGCCAACAGCAGCAGCAGCAGAGTCAAGGAGGGTCCAGTCACCCGACTGTGTCTCCTTCTCTTCAGCACCAGACCTCTCTCCATTCCTCTTGTGCTGTTTCCACTGCCAAGAACCTATCTCACTCAAACACTCTAGGGTCTCCGACCTTAGCGGAGATCTCTGGGTCTCTGTCTCACTCTGGAGCGACCTCTCAATCGAGTCACTCAGTGCTGCACCACGGCTTGGGTGGCTACAACTCCCCCGGCATCAACACCAACGCCCTCTCATCTTCCCCGTATCTGGTAAATGGAAGAACCTGGTAACTGGATATATTTCTTCCTTCTTAAGGACATAAGCAGCAGGTGTTATGTGAACTATTCTTGTATACTGTTGTGTCTCATATGTCATAAAGACCCCTCCCCTTCCAACCCCTTACTCACACAAATACTCCTGTTGTTAAATATGCTCGTAAAATTCCCAATCTACCTAGCACCGGGTTTATTCCTCCAAAGCAAATTTGCTGCCGTTTAATGGTCGTCATATCAAACTGTGACCAAAGCTGCATCGCCGAATGAAGGTTTTTTTAATGGCGATCGTGTTTACTCAGTGCCAATATCCATACCATATAAACGTACTACACAATATTCCCAGGACCAATCAAATAGATTTGATATTTATAAAACAATCGTTTATTTCTTTGCTCGAACAATCTATGGACACTTTACTTGTAGAAATTTCAGTAATATAGTGTCTGTAGTTCTTAACAATAAGCACTTCATTGAAAACCTTCTTATTAAATTCTACCTTTTTAGAGCACAGATTTCAATATCAATATAAAATACAAAAGATAAATGTTTCTTCATCCTTTATGAGTTTCTACCAATATTTCAATTTCAAATATTTTCAAAATTAAAACGATTAAAGGGACGGTGCTGTCATGTTTCATGGTGCTGACGGAATGAATGATATTCACATTTTAAGATTTTATCAAAATATGTTGTGTATAAGTTATTTCAGTTATTTACCTTATAAAGGATATAATGAGAACACGAATTAGTCAAACAAAACCTATTCAAAATCGTTTGACAATCCAAAACACGTTGCCTTTCTATTTGACGATTTATAAACAGATTACAATATACACTTAATGTGAGTAGAACCAACCACGGCATATGTATACATTGTTCGCGATACTTGATGAGCTGGGTAGCTTAATCGAGCAGTTATTGGACATAGAATGAATTTCATTGTTGCGTGTGTCACATGAATGTGTGGGAAAACAGTGTTTATCGACCGGCATATACAACACAATGTGGCTACATTGAAAACGAGAGGGGTTTACTTTGATAGGAGAAGCATTGATTAAAACACTTGATTCCTTGGTGGGGAGGGCGGGAGCGAACATTTCTATTTTGTCTTGATAGACATTATCTGGATGGAAGAATTTGACGGAAAAGGAGCGTGATTAGTGTGTTTCGAAGTACCTGGCAACTATTGCACTTTTTCTGTCTGAATATGATCATGATAAATAATATATTTTCTTTTTGACTTTCATATCAACAGTCATAGGAAACATGCGTGGTTGATAGCGTCATAAGTGTATAACGTCGCAATTTTGTGAAACATTATTTTTTGCAAAGCTTAGTGATTTTGAAACAGTGAATACGCAATCCTTTATCACAACTAGATCACATTATGCAGAAACCTCATTTGTGTATCGTATTAGTTGCAGTAAGATTATTTTTTTGTTATTGTGATATCGTAATGTTGATAATGGTTCAATGTGTGACGTATTTATAGTTTGTACTGTCTTTATGACACCTGGTGTCATCACGTGGTGTCACACGGTTTTTTGAATTGTCACATCCATTTTATGTGTTCTTCTTTTGTAAAAAAATATGAATATGATTCTTGATCATTATGTGTCATAACTTGTTTAAGAACAATGTATTGCACAGATTACCCCTGGAAGTTCAATACAATCAATACAATAATGGCACGTGGTACATTGCAGCAAATTTGCTTTAAAATGGAATTAGGTGCTAGCACATATTGTTCATGTCATAAATGGGCAAAGGCCTGTCATTCACCCGTGTAAGTTATTAATGTAGATTTCATTACATTACATTGCCTTGACAACATGTTTACTACGTTTGTTCAGAAATTGTATGTGGACAATTCTTGCACCCTATCCTTCAAGCGGCCATGTTTGCAGGCGCTAGTTGAACTAGAACAGTTTAACAACCCCTCCCCCCTTCTCAACCCACTATAAACCGGGATCCTGGTGTCATTAAATTGAGGCGGACATGGGGGTTTATTTACCCACGTTGTGTCCAATACTGCAATAAGGCGTCTTGTCGGACCAGCGCAATGCTAGGTTCTCGATATATTGCGGAACTTTACAATGTCCTTTGATGTGTAGATTTCATATTTTGTTCACCACTTAAGGCCCGTAGGCCTGTGGTTAACGTTATTCAGAAATAAATTTTTCTTATGTGGAATTTCCCTTTGTCGATTTCTTTATGTATTCATTGTCCCGATGGTTTAAAGCCCAGTGCTTGAAAATCATGGAAAAACTATATTTCGTTAAAAACTGATTGTGATGTCTTGTTCCAAGAATGCTCGTTATTGAATGAGTTGTTCGAAATGAGTCAACGCCAGTCTATGTAATGAAGTGTTATTTACGTTCTAAACGAGGAGTGACGCGCTATTCAATTGTACTTGGTTTTACTTCCTGAAGATTGACAGTTAACCCCTGTTAAACCATCAACGAGTCTCTCATACAATGTTAGCGTTGTCATATTACACAGTACAACATGTATAACATCTTACAAATTACCCCCAAAGTTCATACCAGTTATGATAGACTGGTAGTTATAACACATAGTCTTCATTACAAGCCATTGTTAAAAGAAAAAGTTATTCGTTTGATATGTAATACAATTTGTTATAATGAACTATTCAATTATATATGCTATATAATCCTACTTATTTGCTTATTGAATGGCAGAAGTAAGCGCGTTTGCTTTGACAGTAACAGTTGAAGTTAAACAATTTATAACATTTTCGGGGATTGGGCGGGAATTAATACTATTATTTTTTATATATCTCCATAGGACATGTCAGCAATGACGTGTTCACTTCCAGTTACAATTCATTAATTTAATCAGTTACAACTATTAACATGAACGTCGGCGCTGACTCATGTAAGAATCCTTTCACAAGAATAAATTCAATGTTGTTAATGAAACTAGAAAACCCGTAAACGACTGTACGTTATAGTATTGCAAGATCGTTTAGACTGTTTGCTTAATAGATAATCTTACAACGTGTAATTACTCTGATAACGTTTACATATTTACAATTTTACATATTTTCATATCTATATACCTCTTTGATTACAACCTAGGATCATCAGAATCCAAATTAGTTGTTCTTTCAAATCTGAACAATACGTCTTTGTTACTCCATGAAGAAATGTCAGCACATGACAAAACATCCAGCTATAGCTCTGTGTATGCATAAATACATCCATGACACGCTAAACACCGAAAAAGATCTGTCCTTAATAGAGATGTCAGCACCTGTATATAGATTCCTGGGATGGCATATTATTTTGAAAACGTCTCCAGTCCACTGAGCATAAGAAGGCCACAGCCCGCGTGGAAGAGTAGCTTCACTGCCAAGTATGCAATTATATTGCTCCGGTCCAATCCCCATGTACCTGGCAATTACGAAGTATTTAGTATTAAACGTATTGCCGAGGCCTCTATTGTCCTGTTAATCGCCCCTACTTGGTCTGTATGAATTTGATCAGATTGTATATAGCATTACAGTTTACAAGGGGCATTAAATAGGTTCCTTCCTTCCATACCCATCTTCACCATGGGACTGGCTTGGTGACTATGTGAGTAAGACATACGTCAAATGTTTCTTTTTAGAATTGTTTTATGTATAATACGAGAGCCTCTGCTCTGCTCTGCTCTGTTCGCTCTTCTTTGCTCTGATCTTCTAGGCTAGGCTAGGATAGGCTCTGCTTTATGTCACTGTGGATTTTCTTTAGTTTTTCAATTGTAAAAATATTAAGTCAACTTCTTGTGGTATTTAAGTCCATTGTAAACATTGTACGTTTCATAAAGTTCATCTCAAAACCTTACTTCAACTGATCGCTTCATGGTCCAGAGGGGTTATCAGAAATATCGTAATATCAATAAAAAGATGTTAGGTCAAAGCATGAATGGCCAGATAGCTTAGTCTTCATTTCAACTGAAGGACGTTCAAATGTAATAATTTAGTCCAGTGACTATGGTCACAGTCATTTTAGCAAACAACTAAACCCTTTAGTCCATTTACCAAATGACTGATTTTACAGACTGACTGTACTGTATGCACATGATACAGACGTGAATGTACATATGACGAATGAACTACGGTAAACGTTCGTTTGATAGTTCGAAATAAAATAAGAATAACAAATATAACGTCCAAATCGTAGTTTTGTATTAATACTGCCCAAAATGTAAAACAAAAATTTGTGTACAGTTATGATGTCATCCAGTTCTGTCACCTCGCGGAGGAATAATGATCTTGAATAGTAACACACTCCAGTGATAGATACATCCATGTTTGAAGAAGATGGCAGTTGAATCCCGTTTGTGTTGTATAAATACAAAGTGTGGGTATTCAAATAAAAGCATTTTTTTATATGCTTGTAAGGATTCAAATGCTTTTTAAGCATCTTATAAAATTATATCACAAGTGAAGTGTTGTCAGCAGTGTAAAGGTTAATGTTGATCTCCATCTCACCATCCCAGTCATGTCAACTCTGTCTATCTCCCTACACCTATAGCTCCATACAAAGCACCATGTTTGTCTTGCAGTGCACAGATATATAATCTTCACCAACGTGGTCAGGTGAACACATAGCAGTGTATAACAGAGGCTTTGTAGCGGTTAAACATGCCATAGAATACAACTTCTATGGAAGGAAAATAGGGAAACTTCCAAATGTTTTCATACAGCAGTTTTAAAAGGACACAGATGTTCAAACTTTGCTTTTCAGAAATGATCTGCTTCACAAATATTGCTCTGGTGTTGGCGTTATTAGTTTTCACATTATTCAGTTTTGGTGATGTGTGTTTGATGATGCTCAAAGCTTGGTGTGTATGGGGTTACCTACATGTTAATTAGAACAGTTATAGTGTGTTCTGTGACAGTTTCTCTCAATATAAAATCTTTTGTTTCATATACAATGACATTCGTCACACAGTAAATACATTTCTCCTTTGATAATCATTTTCAAAAACTTCAAAATGTGTAACTTGTCTTATACAAGTTTCCCTTAAATAAAACAACACATACATTCAAACTTGTTTGCTGTTAAAGGAACTATTTTAACATGCTCTAGTGTAAAGTGTACGCACATAATTAGTTGAACTAACACATATGGCAGCCTCCATATTTTGCATATACAGTTAAATGTCAATAACAATCAATGAACGAAGTAATTCACCTTACTTGAAAAAGGTAACCTTTTTGTACAGTTAGCGAAATATAACCATCTCAAGTTGAAGATTCCAGTGACAGTCAAGATGTTCAGAATGTGTCCTTTTCTATGGAGTTGAAGCCGTCACGGATGAGGGACTGACAATCCCCAGTGTACAGAGGGTGGGTGGGAAGGGCTATGCACACATGATCTAGGCCGCTTACTTCATTCAACATTTCAATTACATTGAACATTGCAAAGGCGATGAACCGATAAACTAGTGTCTAGGGTACTATGCTGGTTAGCCTAGGACGAGGCTGTGTGTGTAGTTAGTGGCCGTAGTTTACCCCTGTATGTAGCTGTTCGTGGCTGAGGAAAGGGTACGGTGTTCATATTGGTAATGTGGGGATTGAAGCCAGTGACATTGTTTGAAGTAGTCCTTCTTTCATGAAGGTTTTGAATGATGTGCAACACTGTCCTTCTTCCCATTATTTCAGAATATGAATTAGAAAGAACAGCCACTATCTCCAGGTTTCTGATAACACATTAATATGTATATTGGCATCAGGTGTTGAATGTTATATGGATGTAAATAGTAATGAAACTATCCTAAATGTTTCTGATGAAATATTTGTGCGTTATTGTATTCAGCTGCAATGGGCATTGGTGGATGAATGTAAAATGATAAGTAAGTAATGAGACTATCCTAAATAGTTTGAAATTATCTGTTCTTGTGAATATGTAATAATAGGCATTTACATGGATTAGTTACGAGAAAATAAGGCGGCTTTCTAATGATTTGTTAGTATGTTCTTGTATTGTAGTAGTGAATGTTATGTTATAGTAATTAGAAATAAACAGGTTCCTGTGGCATTATAGTATATTCTAGTAATGAAATGACTAGTATCAAGAAGGATGCACTTCTACTTGATGGTTTCCGATGTGTATTCGTATGCTCTTAGGCAATATTGGGGTTTTAGTACTAGTATATATTATGTAGAGCTACTTTCTTAAAGTTTCTTCTGACATAGTTCTATATTTGTAAATATTCGTAATGCGAAACGATGGTGGGGGGATGAAGTGTAATTAAAGAATATTATTGTTTTTGTTTTCCTTTTCCCGTTTCTTTTTTCGTTGGTGATGTTTTGGGGAGTTGTTTTATTCTAATAATTTTCGAAGGACTTTATTTACCTTAAGGAGGGAGTCTGCAAGTGTCAATATGTTTGTCAAAAATATGTATCATTACTATATGCATCAAACAAAAAATATGTTTGAATTCGATAAGATGCGATAAAGCATCATTTTATGTGGTACTGGGAACAGTCTCATAAATCTCCTTCTCAGGTTTCTATATGCCTAAAGTCAATATCATATAAAACGTCAACACCGAAACAAATTTCAATGAGTGTAAAAGGCAAAATGTGATGAAAATTATATGAATGGATCTCTTCAACTGAGTGATAACACCAGGTGTTTGCGAAATGATAATCATGTCCTGCTCTACCTGTAGAACCCGCAACTCGCACAATTTTTATAAAAAAGTAAGTGTCGACAGACATGGACAAAAATATCACATATATGAGTTGTTATATTTGGGAGGTACTGCACTGAGCAGAATATTTCCTTTGTATGCATTCAAACACAACTCATGTAGATACCGTGTTGAAAAGGTTGCTGATATTATTTACATAACTATACCTATGTATAATCAAATCGTGCCGAATAACAATCAAATAAAGCACCAGTATGAAGAAATGTTACACTGGAAAGATTTTACATTGACTTTTACTCAAGATCCTACACATGTACATGTTCTGATGGATAACAGATAAACATCCAAACCATAATATTGCGGACTCAAAAAATGTTACTTCGCTACAGGCAATGTTGATCTAACTGAGATGACACAATCCATATTATATACATGTAACTGACAATATTAAATATTGATGACAACATTATACCGTGAACTATATACATCTATCAATATATGACTGACAAAGACGTTGATATATT